GTGGAATTATCACCCCCCATTATATACGTCACTATAGTGTATTTACATACATCATAACTAAATTCGGTTACGTTTATCGAGTATTGTGTTTGGGGAAGATGGTGGATGTAGTGCAACCCCCTAAAACGTTATTAAATTGTATTGTCATTCAACTTCTATAGTGACGTTATCCTATGGACAAAAAGGGCTCCTAATTCAATCTTTTATAAGAAAATATTCCCCCTTCCCAAAATGTACGAAGTCAAAACTGTAGACGGGGCCCCCTAATTCAAATCTGTCCGGGCCCCACGAAGCTATAACCCCCCCCAGTAGCCTTGTATTTTAATTAGAAGTGGTCTTTGAAGCAAGTCCAGTAACTGGTTTCATGATAAAAATTTATTTCTATAAATTATATATCGCTGCTATTTTTAAATTTACATGATTTTATCACACCATATATCATATACACCTATTTATCAAGTATATTTACAGTCGAAGACGGTGTCGAAAATACATATATAACAGCTTCTACTACGAGACTTCGCTTGCGTGTATGTACTGTATAATTTATTAAAATAATTTCTGAATGTAATCGAAAAAAACTATATATAATTTTGTATCGAATATCATTTAATTATTTTTTTATAAATTAAAAAAAAAATATATATATATATCGTAAAAATAACACTACTTTACAAAAGAATTGCTTGCGTTATCCCTCACCAGATGGAGCCAGATTCTTTCCATTATTGACTAGAAGGTATGGCGAAGGCTTTATTCGAGTGTCAATACCTTTAAGATTCTTAAAATTTGACTTTCAAAAAGTTTTCTTTGGATTTAAGATAAAAATTTCCAAAGTATCATTTTAATCTGCAAAAAGTTTTCTATAGTGATTCTCAAAGTTCGAGTCCCCATATCAATCATCCAATCTTAATATAGGGCCTTCAAGCATAACCAAACAACCCTTATCTTTTGAAAACTTCGAAATATATCAATCATTCGGCATATTGAATCAATCTTCTATCCGTATTTAACTTAAAATTAAAGATATTCGTGCCTTAAATGAAATAAAATATGTTTCTACATTAAATTGTTTTGTATAAATAATCAATTATTATAATTTATTCCATGCTTTTTTTTTACGTCTAATCACAAGTTTTACCATGAAGAGTACAAAGTTCGACAAAGTAATCAAGAAAATTCAAATCAGCTTCATCTTTATTCAATGGGATTCTCGAAGATTCTTGTAAGCTAAAGTGCATTCGACAAGTATTGCATGACGAGGAATTAATCGTTCGACACCAAGGATAAAACAACAAAAGTGTAAAATTGAATAATGTGTATAACCAGCATCGATTAACGGCGGTCATTTATAATTTCTGATGGACTCAAAAGAGACTGAAAAATAAATACTTTCTCCCTTCTGTTGAGAACGAAAAATATTTAAAACAGGACCAACTCGTGCGTAAATACAATAAAACCTGTGTAAACTGGACACGCAAGATACGAATATCTTCCGGCTTTGGCAGGTTTGTTTAAACATAAAAAAAATGGCTCCGTTTTGAAGAATTTTTCAGCTTAGGCAAGGTTTCCGTTTCAGACAGGTTTTCTCTCTCTCTCTCTCTCGCTCTCTCTCTCTTCGGCACTCATAATCCCTGAAGGACCTTGGCCTCATCCAGGATTTTCACCCATTCCTCTCTATCTTGGTTTTTCCCTTTACAACAACTCACACTCATCTTTCTCAAATCATCCTCCACATCCTCTTCCCATCTCTTTTTTGATCTCCCTCTCGGTCTTCTTCCCTCTGGCCTTTCTCTGTACACCTGACACACTTTTCTCTCAGGATCCACCCGTTTTAAATGCCCAATTTCAGACAGGTTTTACTGTATATTACTTCTATTTTATTTTATTATTTTTTTAATTTTAGAGTGCTGCCGGTTTGTATTTTATTTAGAGAAATAAACATTTACCGAGCTACACATAAAAAAAAGGAAAAAAAAATAAAATAAACTTGATCTTTATGGCTGTACTCGAAAATATTTTCTAATTTGTTCGCTTCAGTTATCATCACAGGAAAATTTGGTTCGCTCCATGCACAAAAATAAATTATCTGATCTGAAAAGGAATCACGATACGAAATCTACTACTTCCGCTTTGTACAGCAGAACACTAATGGAAATACCACCTTAAATGGTTCTGTTGTTTATTTATCTCTTTCATTAGCGATTGTATATTTAAACTATGTTTTATATTCTTTTAATTTTTTTTCAATTATTTCATCTAAATAATGGCTATCGAAGTTATTTTACGAATACAGTAAAACCTGTGTAAACCGGACACACAAGATACCGATCGTACAAGTTCTTTTTTAATATAGAAAATCGTTCCATTTCAAAGAATCTTTTCTATTTAGGCAGGTTTCCGTTTTATTCAGGTTCCGTCTTAGATAGGTTTTACTGTATATATATACAGTCAACCCCCCCTATAGCACTGTTGATTATTCTGTTTTATATAAATTCCATGTTGTATGAGTCACTTAGATTTTACAAATACATGTGAAGGGCTGTGAACAGCTCACGTATTTGTAAAATCTAAGTGACTCGTACAACATGGAATTCATATAAAACGGAATAATCAACAGTGTTATAGGGGGGTCGACTGTATATAGTAAGATGATTACAAAAGAAAAAAGTATAATTAAGAAACTCGTTAATGAGATTTCGGGTATTAAAGAGGGTTCAATTTAACTTGAAAAAATAAATAGATTGAAACCTGATATCAAATAATGTTGAAATTTGATGAAAATTTAGGAATATTAATTATTTTATTCATTGTTTTGTAATGAAAATGTTTAATAAAATTACATAAATTATAATCCTTAAAATGTATGCAAGTGTAATTATACATCTAAACAAATTAACATTAGTGTATATTATAATGTATAAAACCTTATAAATTGTAATATTTATAGTAAAACCTGTCGAAAATATAACCTGAATAAAACGGAAACCTGTCTGAGTGGGAAAAATTCTTCAATTTTCTATGTTAAAAAAGAAACCTGTTTAAAGCTTATATACTTAATGTAATGTATAGGATAATGCATCATCTTTTTAAATATAAAATATAGAAAAATTATAAATAAATCAAATACACTTTAGATAATTAAAGAAATTTGTACTCGGTTCACACGAGAATCATGTAACTTTCTGTTGCGACGTGCAATCCTCATTCAATCAATTACTATCTATTGTAAAGAGTCATAAACAATAAGCTATAATAAATTAATAATTTATTAATGATATATATATATATATATATATATACAATCTATGAGGATATTTTGAATGTTTGCTGCTGTTAAAAAATAGCGTTAAATCAAACGCACAAACGCAGGAATAACAAGATTTGTTTTTATGTGAATAAGTTATGTCATTTATTTTTTAATCTCAAAAAGATAAAATTGGATCGAAATATGTGTTAAAATTAAACGATATAATTTTATAAAGAGGAAAACTAGTGCATTGAAGGAACAGGTAAAGTGAGGAGTTGAAAGGTGTTTTGACTCCTCCCTCGAGTCACGTGTTACCACTTGCCATTTCCGTTTCGGCAAGGGAGAAGCAAAGTGCTGTTTCACTTGTTCGACGTTTCTGCATGATGTGCACGTGTAGCGCTGATCAGAAATTGGAGACTTTGTGCGAAAGAAGGAATGGTGGTTACGTTTTAGACGAGCGATTCTGTTCTCAAATACCCAGAGTTAAGCTGAAAAACAAAAGTGCTAAAGTGCATGTAAGTTGTTGTGTTTACTTTAATAGTTTTCGGGGTGTTGCGTTGCATCAAATATGGATTTTGTTTACCTTCGCTCATAGTTTTTGTGTGTCAGTCATGGCAACCGTTTCTTCTCAGCCCTTCTTATTTATATGTATCTTACATTGACGATATCGAATTTCACGTATAATGTAACAGTTTTATACACTAATTATACTATACACCAAGTTCAAAGGTCACGCTTTAATGTAACTTTAACCTTTTACATGCCATCCCACTCACCTATATTAATTAAACGNTGATCTTTTTTTTGCTCACCAGTGATGGTTTACCCAATAGACCTAGGGCCTCGTCATCTCGAGGAACCTCAAGCATTTTATAACAAAAAAATATATATATATTCCTCTAAAAATTTGTTATTATTTAAGAATTTTATTGTATTTTTAATATAAAAAAAAACACTTTTACATAAAGAGCACTATAACAAAATGGCGCCTAGGAAATCAAAGGAACGTAATCAGCTACTGTACTGTACAGTGTGATAAGTAGTCATTATACGGTACTTGACAGCAATTGTTTATAAAGTAAAATATTTCAAATGATTACTTAAAACACTATGCCATCAATTATGTGTTTTTATATGTAATTACATAGATTTTTTTTGAGTAAAAAGAAAAAATGGTTGAATAAAAGAGTATTGTTCTCTCAGATTTCCTTGTTATTGAAGAAAATAGTCGCATCTATAATTATAATCATAATAAACTGAAGTTGACAAATTTTTTGTGTTTTATTGTTCCTTTTAGTAATATATAGGCTATATATATATATACGATAATAGGGCTGATTGTTTTAAAAATTCTCAAGGATTTATTACTATCAATTTTTAATTATTTCCTTCAATATATTATAATTACAATACTCTTTAACCCTTATAATTTAGAGTATAATTTAAATATTAATTTTCCTTAATTTATATATATATTATTTATTTATTTATTTATTTATTGTTGTCTGTTAAATGAATAACAGAATTTTCATCAATTGTTATTCTATATAGAATTACACTATGAATTTTTTTGAATATAAATATGTTGTATATTATCCTCGTTGCACAATCCAAGGACGTAATTAATAGTTAACATATAAGTAAAATTCTTGAAATTTTAAATTACAAAGAGGAAAATTACGTGTTCAAATTTTTATTTTATAAAAATATAATATTATTTACACTTATATATATTTATTATAATTAACAGCTTGGATTTTGGGTTTGTTCATCTGTAAAGCCGCTACTTATCTCCAAGGAGTGTCTGTCTGTGCTTCTGTACACACTTTGGTTGCCATTTCAATTGACAGGTAAGTGTTTTGTAACTGCTGTGATCGCTTTATTATTTTGTTAGAAAATTAAGTGTTTTTTTTTTTGTATACAGACAATTACGTATCACTAGCGTACAGTACAGTACATCATAGTCACGTCCTTCCACAGATTAGATAAGATAATATCGTTTCTCTTTCGTGATGCGATAAGATCAATATGAAAACCAGGGAGTTTGAAGTAAAAGGACAAAAGAAAAATATGAATTAATCAAACAGTAAAAATATTTAATCTATTGTTTAACATTTACCTTATACTTTTCCAAACGTATTATTAGTTGTGATATAAAAACACTTAGATAAGGTATATTTAAATAAACACTAGAAAGTTTTTTTTTTTTAACAATTTAAACAATACTTTCTCCTGTGTTGAAACAATGCTTATAAAGTCAGGCTCTCTTGGATATAAATAATTTTAAAGAGCGCCTGACACAGAATATTTATTTTTACAGAATATTTTCTGTGTCAGAAAGAGAATTAAAAAACAAACGAAACAAAACAAAACACTGCTTTATTAGAAACAGGAAGGAAATAAATTAATCTAGAATGGCCATGACGAATAGGTATGAATAAAAATTAGCTACGTCACACGTTTTTGAGGATGTTTTCGTGTATAAGCATCCCGACTAAGTAGATACAATGGCTTCAAATGGAATTACATTCGATATTAATAACAATATAAAACATTTTAAAATATTGAACAGGATTAGTAATAGATGGAGGTAATATATCAAGTGTGGTTGTTAAAAAGTTGGTCTTTTTCTTGCAGATTCCTGGCTATCTGTCATCCAATGAAATGTCAAATGACCTCCAGAGGCTGTAAATTCATCATTGTAGCTATCTGGGTAGTGAGTTTTGTTCTTCTTTTACCTTGGGTTTTTTATTTTCGTCTCACTCCCATGTACAGTAATGGAAATTACGGTTTACAAGTATGTCAAGAAGTATGGCCTACAGAACGAATGGAGATGATGTATTTCGTCGTGGCTAATCTTCTTTTGTGTTACTTGCTCCCTTTATCTGTGATTTCTCTTTGTTACATTCTCATCTGGCGCCGAGTTTGGTTGAGAAAATTACCGGGTGAAGCGCAAGAGCAAGAAGTCGAGAGAATGATACAAAGATCGAAGATTAAAGTGGCAAAGATGCTTCTGGTAGTCATAGTAGTTTTTGCAGTTTCGTGGTTGCCTCTCTACGCAATATTTGCTCGGATTAAGATTGGTGATAAGATTATAGAAGGCACCTTAGAGGATAGTATTGTCAGCATTGTGGCGCCCGTAGCACAATGGTTAGGCGCTTCCAACAGTTGTATTAATCCAGTTCTTTATGTCTTCTTTAACAGCAAGTTCAGGACTGGATTTAAAGTGATCCTATTCAAGCGTTACTGTTGTAGAGACATCGATTACCAAGACGAGCGCGATAAAACTTTCCGTAATGCCTTGTACTTATCCCGAAAAACAAAACAAGTCGATGGTTCCCAAATAAACACAAAATGCGTGTCGTGAAAATATTTAAATTAATAATATTCTTGTAATCTTCAGTGGCGCGTTATCCCATGGTCAAGAAGAAAGGGCAACCACTCGGAAGCCCAACTAAAAGGGGACCCTTTTATAAGAAAAAAAATACCTGAGATCAACATCCCTAATTTAAATTCGTTTGGATCCTATGAAAATATAACGCTCCACTGGTAATTTTTGCCCTCAATTTCTCTATAAAATGAGACAATAATAGGACCTATATTGAATAACGAGAAGTTCTTAGATGTCGAGTTTAAGTTGCAGAAATTCTTCTCCCCTTTGCTATTTACTCACTCTACTACCGTTTCTATGACGACCAGGAATTATAAATTTGTGTTTTCAGTTTTACAAATATTTAAAGTAAAAAAAAAAAGTGACAATTAAATCACGTGATAGTCTAATAGTCTAAAATCTTCTACACTAGAAACTCCTGCTTATGTGTGTATTTTATGTAATTTAATAATATTCGAAACTAGTAAAAAAAATGTTTTGTGAGGTGAATTGTGAATAATTTTAAATTAATAATTCTTAATAAAAACGAATTTAGAAAGAAAAAACAATGGGCTAAAAACACATCAAAACTTACTTTTGATCGATAGAAAAATTCCAGTTCGTTCGAACGTAAGAGATGTTTTTTAAAGGGAATTTATAGAATAATCTTTTAAATAATTGAGGGGGGAGGACGTAATTTAATGTATTAATTTTCGAAGTAAATTGAGTTAGAAATAACGAATACGGATTCTTTTATTATAGAAAGCAAATGTGCTGATGCGTCACTGTTGACAGCTGTATAGAACACTTGCTGGAAACTGTCAAACTAACTTTGATACGAAACAAACATCGATCGTGCGACATATTTGAAAAAAAAAAAAACGTTTAATGAAATATTCAAATCACTATTGTTGCGTATCGAAAGCATTGTGTATTTTACAATTATTTCTGTGTCCCGTGTCATTTTTTAAAAAACGAATTACGCGGTGACGTACTAGAATACCGTCCAATGGCAAACTTTCCGAGCTCTAGCACCACCTGGTAGAATGTATCGACGTCATTTGTGTAGAAATACTCAAGTGGAATCGGTCCTCTTTCATTCCAACTCCGAAACTAAAAAGGGATCAAACTATTCTAACAATAGTGATTATGATATAATATAGAATATATATATATATATATATATATACATGGAATTCACTACGTTGATATATAACGTGTCGGAAAATAATAATATAACAAATGTTTCTTCGGAGGATGATATCCTTTCGATGGATATGTGGATGAGACACAGGATCGAAGTTTCTACTGTACTTTGCATCGCTTATTCTGTAGTATTCGTTTTAGGATTATTTGGGAACAGTTTCGTCGTTGCTGTTGTAGTTCGATCACCCCGAATGAGAACTGTCACCAACTACTTCATCGTCAATCTAGCCTTAGCTGATATATTGGTCATTCTGGTCTGTCTGCCCGCTACTTTAGTGGGTAACTTGTTCGTACGTGAGTATTCAAAAAATATATATACATATATATTATTTTTTCCCTTCCCTTTTACTTTTTTTAAATTATATTTTACGTAAAAATAAATTATTTCGTGAAAGTTTCCAGTAGAAATTTCAAAAAACGTAGAAGAGTTCGTTACTCTGTTTTGTCATTCGTAACAATGAAAGGGATTTCTCATGAATTTTATAGTCGTTAACTCGGTTTTGTCATTCGTAATAATGTCAAACTTCTTTATTTTTTTTGGTCTTTTCTTGATTTTTTTTCCTGTTTATTTGTGTAAAGCATCCAAATAACTTTGTAAGTACAACTTATGAATTATTTAGAAATAGAATTATTTCTAAAATAAGAAAAAAAATAATAATAAAATGCAATATTCTTAACGTCAGGTATTAAATTTCACACTGTTAATGTATTAATATCGTAATCGAAGATCGATTTATTGTTATTATTATTACAGTAAAACCTATTTAGAACTGAACCTTCATACTACAAAATTCCTTGGAAAGAAGCGATTTTCTGTGTTAAATATTTAAAAAAAAAACCCTTTTGAAACGGAAACTGGATCAGTTTATACAGGTTTTACTGTATTAAGTCGAATATTGTGTTTATCTTTGAAGATTTATCCATTCGGAAAATATCAAAGAATGTAACTTTAAAAGCCAAAAATCTGATAACGGTAAGTAATGAAAAAGGAAATAAAAATTGGTATTTTATTCACTAGAAACCTTTTTTTAAAAAATATTATATAAAATTTTCGTGTATAAATACTTCGAAAAGTAAGTAAATCTACGACAGAAAATATCCTAAACTTACGTGGCACATTGATAAACTGTTAACGATAACAGTGCGATATTTGAGTTTTAACAACAATAAATTTAGTGTATTATATAATAAAAATTTATATCTTTAAAGTAATATTATGTAGAAGAAGAAAAGACGAGTGAAATATTAAGAAAAATCATCGTACAAAGTTCAAAGTTTGATAAATCATTTACAACGATCGAGTCGGAATTTAATCAGAATGTCAATAGCGAAAGGATAGAAAGATTTGTAAGAAAGAAAGAAAAATATATAATAAATGAAAAGATAAATAAAATTTCTTCTTATTTTATTTATGGCATAAATATATATTCCATGAAACGTCGCTGATTTAAATCACTTTAATGGATAATTTCAAATCGATATATCGTTATAATTATAATATGGAAATTAAAGTAAATCAATTAAGTCATTTATATAAGAGAATATATTAATTTAGAAAAGGAAACTGCTTGTTATTTAACGAGAGACAAGCTGTTACCCGAATATGTATGAGATTTCTTCATTAGATATTGTCATAAATGAGAAAACGTGAAGTTTTTCTCGAAAATCTCACATTGATTTTAAATGGATGCAACGATTTATATTACATTTGCTGTGTGTTACTAAGTGTTTTGAAGGGGGTGGAATTGGTGAGAGTGATAAAAAAAAACAAAAGTCTTAGTAACAATACTGTATATTTGATTAAGTACTTACACTAATGAAACTACAATACACTTAATAGGGGATGTGTTTTAGGGGTGGAAACCCTCGCAGTATTTTTTTCTAGGATAAATTTAGAGCTTATATGTTGAATGGTATAGAATCTTTCCTTTGTCTAACACATATATAGTTTGACTTTTATGTATATAGATAACAGGTAGGTTGTTATTTTGTTCTAATTTTGGAAATTTTATCATCTTAACTCTAATCGAATATCAACAATTTATTGATTTTCTTGGTTCTAGTTTTATACTGAACAGATTGTTATTGACGACATTCCTTCGGTTTGTTTTCTTCGTATTGGAATTTTGATTTATTTTTTTAAAAAAATGAGAGAAATATTTCTTTAATGATAAAAATTATACCTTATTGTTGTTCATTAATTAATTTTTCCGTAGTATTAATTATGTTTATTTTAGTATGACTGCGGGCAATATCAGCCTATCTGTGTTAGAAAATGCTAAAATAAATAGAACAATTATCAACAAAATACATTTTGTTAGCAAGAAAAAGGAAATTTTTATAAATATTTTTCTTGATTTTTCTCCTTTTTTTTGGATTTTAAACATGTAGATACCCGACTGTATTTTCATATAGTCGAGTTCTATACCCTCTGTAAACATCAAAGTGGTGAAGGGAGAATATAATAATATAAGGAACAAATGTGGTGAAACAGAGGAATATGGTGGATTCGACTGCTGTTTATCTCCTTCCTTCAAGTCCTATATCACATTTACGACATGACTGACAAACCTGAAGTCTGTGTTTATAATGGTGTGTCAATAGGGCATACCCGGTGCTCGGAGTGACTAGATTTGATATTCGAGGAGACGAAAGAAATATTCGAGATTTAAAATATTTTTTCTACTATAAATTTATTATTTATTAAATATTTAGAATAATTATAAAGTTACGTATATTTTTTTTTAAAAAAAAAACGTAACTTGAATTATGGAGGAAGTAAGATATTTCGATCAGAATTATGGTAAGAAACACACGAAATTAATACAAACATGTCTAAGAAGCAGTTAGGAAAGAGATTAGCAGTAAATTCTTTAGGGAGTTGATGAGACTCGAGCTTAATAGAGAAAAAAGGAGACAGAACGAATTGAATTTGGAAGAAATCAGAAGAAATGAATTATATTGTGAATAAAAGAGAAAAATATCTTCGTTTCAACTTAATCGTTTTCCTTTTCTACCTTATTAGAAATCTATTTCTAAAGACAGAAGTTTTTAAATAATAATGGAGAATACGAGAAAATGAGTCACCTGCACTTGTCATGTGAAAGAATGCAAAAATTGCTTGTTATTGCTTTGCATTCAATCTGTTGTTCCATTGATGTCTAGCGAATGAATTTATTTTCTTTGCTATTGAATAGAAAAAATAAATAAAATAAAAATAATAATAATATAATAACACAACCTCGCTTGTTTTCCAAGTGTTATACAATTCACGGCCGAAGTAAATATTTGAGATCAAAACAGTTCACTGCTCTGACGTACAAATATACAAATAAAAGTTGACAGCTTATTTTTAATGAATGTAGAATAGTAAATTAACACATAAAATGCTTTCCTTTATAAATTTTAATAAGTACGCTATTCATATTTTATAAACCTCGTCTGCATTCAATTGTCTACGATATTTTTTTAACCTATTTAGCAAGAGCATTAATTTAAAATGTGCTTTAGTTTAAATATATTTATATACCTATAAATGTAAGCGGATATACCGAGAGATTAAACCCTCCCCCCTCATTAACATACACTACAAACATTTCAGCTATCTCTCCCCCCCTTTGGATTCTTCTGTATCTGCCCTTGCACTGTTATAAATTCGTAAATAACTCTAATTTTCAGTAAATTTACCATAAAATAAGGGACTAAAATTGTATTGTAGAAAAACTAGATTATTCCAGTGGTATACGCGACTTGAATTATAAAGAGACGATGTCAATTATCCAATTCTTCTGTCAAAATAAGATGATAAATGATGACAATTTAATAATAACAAGGAAATAAATAAATACTTTAAATACTAAATACTATAAATGTATCAATAAACTATTAATAAATATGATATTTAACACAGGAAATTTTGTTAATATTTATTAGATATAATTTACGAGTTGTAAATCGTTAATTTTAATGGGATTTACGAAGAAGATTATTCAGAAATCTCTTTTTTTATGAATCTATTTATCGAATAAACGTGATCAATCTTGATGTAGAAACGACTTGTCAAGTACACAGACCAAAAATGAAAACAATAAGTAAAAAGCCATTTGGAATTTTCCTATTTTCTATAAACGTTTCGGTTCGACCCCCCCATTTTATTCCCTTTTTTTCTCTCTCTCTCTCTTTTAAATTGTGTAAATTTAAAATTTTAATTATTTAAGAAACTTTAGAGTAGAAAAATATATACGATGTTGAAAGTGATCCGGAAATTTAAAAGCTGGCATTTGAATTTCACATACAAAACAAGAAGTAAAATACATACAAGATCAAATTTAGATGAAGTCTTTTACATTACTTCCGTCAGTGAAAATAGGTTATTCTACGTCATAAATATTCAGTTAAATCAAGTAAATATTCAATTTTCTATCAGTCATGATCATATAAAGAATAAAAAAATCTACTTAATAGCTCCTTTTCTTACTTTCTTTTCGAAAATAATTTGTAGTGTGTCGAAGTATTGTATTATTGACTTGTGTTTATTATACAGTCGACCCCCCGTTTTATATGAATTCCATGTTGTACGAGTCACTTATATTTTATAAATACGTGAGCCGTTCACAGCCCGGCACACGTATTTATAAAATCTAAGTGACTCGTACAACATGGAATTCATATAAAACGGAAAAATCAACAGTGTTATAGAGGGGTCAACTTATATTATATTTATAATTTTATTTAAAAATAGATACTTTACAAGAACAATAATAAATAATCTAATTTATTTTTTTTTTATAATTTACTTCTAGATCATATCTTTAATTATTCTATATTTAGAATGTTTTAAAACTATTCTAATGATATATATCCCAACAGGTGCAATTGCTAAAAAACATAATTAAGAGATCATCAATCATTTAACAGTCAAACCTTAATCTATTTTTTTCTTGTGTAAAGAGGGAGACAGTAACTTAAGTAATGTTATTATATTCAATTGAAGTAATCTACTCAGAAATTTATCTATAAATCCCTGCAGGGTGAAATAGGAGATTTAAAAAAGAAATAATATTAAAAATAACAATGTAATATACAAATAAAAGTTGAGCCTTACAAAAGTTTAGCATTAACAACTGTCTAGAAGGTTTAAAAAGAACATCAATCTTTGCCTTGTCTTCGGGAATGACTTATAACTTTCGATTACGTGTTTAAATTACAGTTAAACCTGTTTAAAACGGAAATATTTCATTCCCACTTACACAGGTTTTACTGTAGTATTAATAAGTTTAATCACTTTTATATAT